ATATTTGTTATTTTTCATAGAATCCATTTACTATCTATATCTTAATTCATACAAACGTAAATAATCTCAGTAGACATTATTAGTATTTTATAATCAATCAAAATACAAATCTTTAAATGTCTTGACACAAAGAATATTGGACTTACTCTAATTTCATAATAAATAGCCCACATATAACTACAGTTTCAGCAGTAAACATTTCATAATATTTGATAGTTATTTTTAATAGTTCTTTATATTCAAAATATGATATAAGTTTAAAGAAAACTTTTACTTTCCGAAAGTGAGTCAATCATTTTCCAAAAATTATGTGTTATTTTAATTTTACAATACATGTGTACAAATAGGAGTACTGTTTGAAGTAAATATTAACCATATTATTTACAATTAATAATTATACATAAGTAACCATTTTTATTAGTTTAGCAATTATGTACAAATTTAATGATAAAATAATTGTAGCAGAATAAAATTGAATCATTTATGAATACTATTATTAAACTTATTTTATTTTTATTTTGGAATTTTATTTTCTAAATGAAAGTGCATTATGTATAATTTTGATGTTATGTTAACAAAAAATTTGTAATATTTTAAATGTAGATTAAATCTTAGACAAAATTTGTTTATATTGTGCATTGTACGTTGTACTCACTAATAATGTGGGATATCCGTGGAAACCGCAGAGGTGCATGGAAAAAACAATTTTCCTCACTTATTGTTTTTTTCTAAACATTGTTCCTTGTTTTTATACTACCAATTATATGTCATATGGTCTATTGGCAAATTAATGACCATATACTTTATAGATATAAGCACGCTTCTTTTTGAAGACTGATTTTATTTTAAAGCCTTTTAATTTTGTTTATTCTATTTATGGCTTTTTGTTTTGTCACGGTTTGCCATGTTTTTTCTGCACATTTTGTTTTACATTGACACATGAGATCAGTCTATGATCTTGCGACCTATAGTCACAACTGAAAGTATTTTATTGTTTCGAGTATTTTGGACGTTCGTTTCAATGAATCAAGTGTGCATATGTTCCATAACTCTTACTCGTACTCTTAAAATGCTTTTCATCTATTTCATAGGGAATTTTTATGTCCGTTTTATACTGAACTTTAATTTAAGAAAATTAAGCACTTTTTTGAGTACAAAAACAGAAGTTGTAAAAGAACAACATCATTTTATTTTGTTATGGAACATGAGCAAAATCTAAGTGATATTGAAAGTTTTGTGAAAACAACAAACGCATGAAGATTGGAAAACTTTGATAAACGAGAGCATTGGAGATCAGAGTAGGCGGTAATTTCCGCTAATTTGCTGCTGCTACTGCTGATGCTAGAGGTACGTCTTCCAAGCTTTGCTGCTATTCTGCAATGTAAATAACTTCTATAAATTTTACTTACATCAGTGTTGCTCTTTATATAATTCTCTCCTTTGTGCAAAAATTTAAAGTATAACATAGGAGAAATGCATGTATTAACTTAGTGGAAATGGTTTAATAGTGACAAAAATTTCTTATAACGATACAATTTCTTTGAAGATGTCTAAATTATTTCTACTGCAGTACTCATACTCCAATGTTGTTATTCTCGTAACAGCGTGGAATAATTTATTTTATATTATGAACTGATATTTTTATATATGTTAACTTTGTCTAAAGTTAACATGTATCATATTCGGTTATAGCTAATAAAAAAACTCAATTCTTTCAACAAAATATGTATCTAACTCAGCCATTTATTTCTGCTTCATATATTTTTTTTTATTTTGTTCACTTTCAGCAGTATTGTCATTAATCATCGATTCATCATCATTTGCTTATTCTTGGCTTCATAAGGTTTGGATTATTTATGATATTCTATTCAACTTCATGTATTAGCAATGCTTTGGTAAGGTTTGCAACAAAGCTTCGTGGAGCAAAAATCAAGCACAGTAAGAGTGTAACTAATTTTTAGTAACAGCTTTACAATTTTCAGGATGAAATGGAGACATTGCGACATTCTACGCAGAGAGAAAGAACTCAACTTTCCTGTCAACTAGCACAAACTGAGGAAGAAGTGCGTCACCTAAAAGATAAAGTTTTTGTATTAGAACAAAGAGTTGCTTTAGGAACTAATGATCAAGTGACAGTGGATGAAAGAATAGCTGATCTCATGAGAGAACGAGTATTGTTAGAAAGAAAATTAGAGGAGGCACATCTTCACTTATCTGATATAAAGACTAGTTGGTCAGGAAAAATATCCAGCTTGGAAACCCAAGTTGGAAGACTTAGCAGACAAGCCGGTGAGGAGGGTCTAGAAAGAAGAAGAGTAGAAGAGGAAAGTGAAAAACTGAGACAGAGGATCAAACAGCTAGAAGCTGAAATAGAGGTGAACAATGTTGTAATGGCAACGAAAGACGCCAAGCTTTTGCGCATGGCAGAGGACATCGACGAGATGGCCACGGAACTGAAAGAGCTCCGGGCCAGCGTCGATGATGAGGTGGAAGAGTTTAAGCGACAAATTGTGAGTTACCGCGATATGTAGTCATGCATGGACTAGATTGGTTTTAAGAAGATGTCCCTTAGATCTTGAGATGTAAAGAAATTACTTATTTCCTGTTTAAGTGATATATTCCTCAGATAATTTTAGAGCAAATGTAGTATCTTCTAAAATTTCTTATAACTTTTTCTATGAAAACTTTTTATTACACAAATTATATTGTAATATTAATATAAATAACAGTACGTAATGACAATGTTTTATCAGTCGATAATCGAATATTGTAGAATGTTTTTTGTTTTAGTCAATTTTTTATATGAACATATAAAAAAGAATATTGACGTTAAAAAAATGATTTCACAGTTGTTTGTGAAATAATTCTAATTTTGCAGATATGTTTCTTTCATAGTTATTCATTAGAATTTTAAACAGTTTTATTAATCGTTTCATGTTTATAATAATAGTTGGTATTTAATGAGTTCACTGGAACACGTACACATGAACGTGTAAAAGATGTAATATGTTAAATTGTAAATGAAAACTACATATCGCCTATATACTTGCATGTTCTTTTTTAAGATGCTTGAAGCTTGACGCACAAAATATTTATTTTATGCATTGTATTTCCTAGCACAATTTTTTGTTTATAATTCTTATTTACCGTTATAAGCATGCTGAAATATATAGTACATATTATATGTATTTGATTAAAGTCAGCATTACTTATTGACAATCATTCTATGGATTTTTTTCAAATTTTATATTTCCCACCATGTTGCCTTTGTACATGAAAATCAGATAGTACCGATATATTAATATTTTTATATACGAACGCATTTCTGTATATTTTATTTGTGGAATAAAGAAAGAAACCAATAAATTAAATAGTTATGGGCATTCCGTTTGTGCTTGTTTTTAACCCACTTTTATATTCCCATTTCAAGCGGCTTTTTATATATTATTACATACACAAATGTGTACACAATTGTTTTCTTACAGGTAACAAACTATATTATATTTTGCTACACCAACAACACAGTCTGATTACATTTGTGTTGCTGTAAATATTAGGAATGTGTATCCAGATGGAAATGGTTCAAGGAAAGCGCATCGTATATTTCATAGAATAGAAGATACTCTGGTTTAATAGAAACATTTATAATTTTTATTGAAAAACTGAAAGTCATAGTAACTGTTTTCTAAGTCAATGAGTATGTTCGAACCAATATTTGTTACTGGTTCGAGCTTTGGAATTAATGGCACAAGCGATTTCAATTTGAGTGCGAAAAGACAACCAGTTCTTGTTACATACATATGTATACATACATATATATATCTTTAGCTACTATCCCTAAACTAAATTTGTCTACGTTTTCCTTTCTTTTAGATAAATTGTACTTTCATATACTCTTATAAATGTGATTATTCTACAACTTGTGAAACAAAGAAATATTCTCCCTTAAAAAATACTTCATCTTTCATTTGAAATACGGTTTGCTATTAAATATAGATTGTTTAATTTGTAATATTTAACACATATTTGTATTAAATGATATATGTTAAGATACGTTTTAAATAGTGCTAAAATAATGTATAATAGAAATTAAGAATAACTTGTATATTTTTATTAAGTAAGTCACAATTTCTGAAATCGGTTGAAATACAATGGTAAAACATTTATGTAAAATATGTTTTATTTGTACAGTTTATATAAAATATTGCTCCATGTTAATTTCACTCATGCTTCAATTAACTACTCTAAATAATTATGAATATTATATGTCGTTTTAACTTTTAACTTTAATAACAAATTCCGATTGTACCATAAATTCCAAAGATATTTTTTATGCGTAATATTTCAGCAAATTTTATAAATAAAGAGTTAGTTTTGATATTGAATACTTTTAACTTTGAATATTACTTATGTTTCTTTCTGTTTTCTTGCCAGCAATCTTCCACAAAGGAGATAACTGAACTAAAGCAAGATTTGGAGGAGACAAAAACAAAGCATTTGGCAGCCACCTATGAAGTAGCACATCTTCGTATATCATTAGAAGAGGAACGAACAATTAATTCTTCTTTACATCTGGAAGCAGCAAATTTAAAAGAAGATTTGGAATCTGAACGAACAGCACTAACTGCACTAAGAGTATGCCTAGAAAAGGAAAGAGGAGAGAAGGACACTGCATTACTGAGAAACGCCCAAGTTTCCCAAGATATTGAAATTGTAAAGCAAGAAAACCGACGACAAGAAGTTGAAAACACAGAATTATTGAACAGAGTTGACAGTTTAGAAAACAATTTACAAAGTAAAACTAAGGAAATGGAGGAAACAATAGTAAAATTAGAGGAAACTAAACAAAGAATGTCAGAATTAGAAGAAGGAGAACAAAATAGAGAGAAATTGGAGAGAAACGAAAAAGTTCTCAAAAGTAGTTTAATGGATTTAGAAGAACAATTAAATGAAAAAACCAAGGTAAATGACAGAATGTAAATAAAGAAACAAAATATTCTACAAAATACTAATTGTTAAGTTAATTTTTAGACAATTAAAGTCTTACAGCAACGATTAGCAGATATGAAAAAAACTCTCCAACGAGAATTGAGAGTTCCATCGTCATCATTGGATAGCGATGCAGAACCTTCCGCAGCAATTCTCAAACCGAGTTCATCAAAGACTGTTACTGTTAGGCATAATAACACAAGGGATGATGATGTGAACTTTAAATACCTTAAACATGTTCTCATAAAGTTCCTAACGAGTAGAGAATATGAGGTAAAATTTACATGATGTAACGTTAAATCCAGATATAATACTTAAATTATTTTTTAACGTGTTAATTTGATACTTTTAAGGCTCTACATTTAACGAGAGCAGTCGCTACTCTTCTACATTTTTCACCTGAAGAAGAGCGATTACTTCAGGAAACCTTAGAATGGAAAATGTCGTGGTTTGGAACTCGGCCTAATTTAGGTTTCGGACAAACTGCTAAAGCTATACCACCTAGCTGATAGCTGAAACAATTTCCTCTTCCTATAGGTATTATTAAAGTGGTTGCAGATTCGTGGTTAAAATCGAAAAGTTGGATTACATCTGTGGTTAATCATAAATGATGGCGAATCTTAAAAAGATTAGAAAAGAGACAAACAAATTTATATGCTAGAAATTTCATAAATTTTGTAAAATATTTAGCATTTACAATATATATATATATATATGTATAATTTATTTATAAAGGCTAGAAACATTGAATATAGTTAGCTTACAAAATGCGCCATATAATTGGTAGTATGAAAAGTTGGTTAGACAAAATTTGTAAGATAAATATAGAATTGTTCATGCCGATATTTATTACATACATTGGCATAATGAAATAAATTAGTTTAAAATGTATAATCTGTGCTCAATTTTGAGTCACACTATACGTTATTTGCATACGCAAGTGTTAATACACACATATACAATCAGTTTGCAATATTTACTATATAAAAGTTCTAACTAAATTCGTATATGTTATATACAAACATATAATCGTGTAAAGCATTTCATTACAAAACAATATTTAAATTTTAATTTATATACTATATAACATTTGACAAAATAATACTTTCATGCACAGAAAAATGCATCTAATTGTTATATTATATTGTACTTTGTCATTTTGTTCGTTGTACACATAATTATTATCAGTTGAAATAAGTTAACATAATTCAATGGGCATAAATGGTTGTATCGTTATATGATGTAAATTTAGAATTCTTAAATGAATTTCATAAATATGGCTGCAGGTCGGTTGTAATCATTAAACAAATTTGTTAGTTTCATTAATTACGAAGCTGAGAATAATTGCCATAATTATTATTTGTGATATGAACATTGCAATCGTACCAAGTTCATACGTGTAAATAATGCAGTGATGTTTCTATAGACATAATTAAAATACACAAACCCATATGGTTTTTAAAGAAACTGGTTTATTTAATCTTTTACTTATTGTTCATTTAAAACCACACAAATTTTAATGCATAATATTTATTTTATTAATTTTGTAAAATTATTTTGATGCCAATGAAATTATGATTATATATAAAAACTGATGGCAAAGAATGTTACTGTTTATTTGGATAACGTAAAGGGCATGAATAAACTTTTCTTGCCATGTGCATAGTATTCAAGGTTTTCCTTTATTATTAATTGTACAATAGCATGTATTTACAACAACATTTAAAGTACATTATAAGTCGATACAGTAACAAAAAATAGTTTTACGCAAATCTGTCCATGTATTCGAAAAATATTTTAGTTCAATAAGACTTTTTCTATTTATTACAAAACTATTTCAGATCGTGGGTTTTTTTCCTAATTACAAAAGATTTCAAATATTTTAAAAGATTCAATAAGAATATGTGTTACTATAGATTGAACCAAAATTGTTTAAAAGGGGATCACATTCATTTAAAGTCTTCTGTATTCGATTATACAAGTTTATCTTTTATGTTTTAATTATGAGTGAGCAGTTATAAATAAGTGCATAGAGAAGTAAATGGCAAAAAGTATGTAAATATTTACATAAATTTATTAACTATAATAAACGTTAAACTTTTTGTATTCAAAAGTGAAATCAGTTTTTTAAATATTTGTTTCTCTAGAGTAGACTTATAATATATACACCTATCTAATATTTTATCGTTCAAAATGATAAGGATAATATCTTTAATTCAATAATTCTAAAACAATTAATTAATAATATTTTTTTACTATTTTAGCTAGTTCAATTAGTCAAACTTTGCTAATAATCTTATGTTATTAATTCCATTGATAATAATTACATTATAAGAATAATAGAAACATTGTAAAAAAAATTATACGTCTAATTTTTAAAAATATTTTCAACGCTTATAAGTTGTTTGAGAAGCATTAACGCAACGACTAGAACTTCCTTGAGCCAGATATAATTTCTTGATAAAGTTCAGGTGTAATTTCAACATATTCCTTATTTCCAGAAAGGAAATACATTTTATCTTGCACTTTGCTAGGATCGAAGCCTTCCTTTTGAAGATGCACTTTTTTTAACTTGAAAGATCCCGTCATTTCAAGTTCTTTCACAATTCTTAAGAAAATTGGTCTTGCATAAGATGGCAGAGCTTTTTCTAAACCTTCTGCAAGGGCTTTGAAATCCAGTAAACTATCTGGATCAACTATTGCTGCCATGCCTGCTCTTCCTTCCATTCCAGGTACCTTAATAAATAATAACAAATATTTTACAACTATCTTCTTTAATAAGATATAAATCTAAAGTATTTTATATAAATGTTTGTTAAATAATTTTCCGTATCAGGTACTATGTACATAGGATGTATTTTCAATGCTTTTTCAGGAGAATTAAACATTTTATTTTAAAAGGTAAACTTCAATATTAAAAGCAGTAGAATTAAATTAATAACATTAATATATTATTCGTAAGCTTTTAAAATTACAAACCTGAACTCCATAGACCGTAGCGTCTCGCTGTCCTGCAATATTACTAATTACACCCTCTACTTCTGCACTAGCAACATTTTCACCCTTCCACCTAAATGTGTCTCCTACTCTATCTTTAAAGTAAATGTAACCATATTCGTCTTGCATTAATATATCACCTATAAAAGAAACATTTATATCATTTGAAATCAGAAAAGTTTTCAAGAACATTACATTTTTTGAGTGGACAATTTTTTATTGAAATTTATTTAAACTTACCTGACAAGAAAGCTTTATCACCTTTAACAAACACGTTCTCTAATATTTTTTTTTTCGATGCTTCTTTGTCTAAATACCCACTGAATTCCATTGATGCATTTCCTTCTTTTATTAATCCTATAAACATTCCTGGTTCATCTAAATTAAAAACATATTTCATGTATTATAATAGAAAAACTTATCTCAACGTTAACAATTTTTTTTGATATGTTCTTACTTATATCAGCTCTTATGCATAAACCATTAGGACCTCTAATCGGTTCATAGGTTTCACTGTTTACGCGAATAATTGCCACAGGATGGAATTTTCTGGGCACAATCAGCGGTACAAAGCCAACAGCGCCAGTTCGACCATCCAAGTTTACTAAAATTTAAATGTACATTGTATGGAAGAATGAACTTTGCTGTCATATAAAGGTATAAAATCACTTTGAAAGAATAATCCTTTTCCTCTTTTACCTAGTATTTTGTATTTTACATTAAATTATTGATTTAATTTATATAATCTACTATGTGATCAGATTCAATAAGTTTTGCAAAAGTATTTCTAAATTCCTATGTTGATAATAAATAAAAATGCTGAGGTAATGATAGGTCACATTACTAGAGTCCGAAAAAATGTAAGTTGAATATTTTGCTTTCTGTAATAATTTAGAGTAGTAATAATACATGATATAATATTGACAATTAAAGATTACTTAAAAAATCGTGCAACAAAGTTGAAAATATAAATATTAGAGGAATTTCTTAAAGAATTATGATGTATGTATGTATAAAAATAAAAATAAATTTTACTAGACATTTCTTTTACTTACAATATAATGAAGTCTTAATAGATGAATCTTCAGTTAATATATTTTATAGAATGTTTAAAATTTTAAACAATATACCTATTTTGTTTTTGTAGCTCTGACAAATGGGTAGTTACTTACCAATATTTGCGTTCCCTTCGCTAGATCCGTAGAATTCGGTAACCCGATTGATGTTAAAGCGTTTAACAAATTCACTCCAAATTTGCGGCCTCATGCCATTTCCAAACATGAGTCTCAAACGATGCGCGTTATCTTCCACTCGAGGCGGCGCGTTTAATAAATAACGGCACATTTCACCAACATACTGTGCAGCCTAGAAACGAAACAAAATTATGTTTAATTAACAAAATTGGCGTGTTTGAATTTGAGTTATTTTGTATAGAATGTCTTAGTCATAGGCGAATATCTAAATATTTTCGTCGTATTTAATGACATTTCTTCAAGTACAAATAAAATTATTTTAAAGAAGAAATAAAATTGTCAAATTCCTATATTCGATGTAATGAAGATGTGTATACATATTTTGATCAGTACGTTCATCGGATTTGAATTAGATTAGATTTCTGTTTCTCTGAAGAATACTAAATAAAGATGTTTATCGATAATGAATATTATAATTAGGAATTTGTTAACTAATAAAAAAAATTCTGTGATTACTAATTTTAAATTGCTCATTTAAATATGTATATTTATGGTGTTAATAGACATCACCTCGACATGCAATAGATAAAAAAATATTTATTCTATAATCTAGAAACAACATTTTTCAAAACTATTCAAATTGGGCTTGCAACATTTCTCATATCATTAAAAACGAAGATATTTAGATGTTCTCCTGCAACTGAAACATACTGTATATAGGAACAATAAAACATTAAAAGATAACATTAATATATAATTAGGTGAAAATGGTAATAAATCAGTAAGGAATTTATAAATAAAGTAAAAAATGTTTTATGATTATTAACGATATCAGTAGATTAATTAAGGGATCTCTCTTAAACATAAATAAACAATGTGAATATAATTTCTATCTCTAAAAACATTAGTTTATGTCCTTATAATTTCACAGTTATTAGTTTATGAGTCTTATAATTTTACAACCTGTTTTGCATATTCATGATTCAGTTATTATAGTGCAATAAAAATATAAATAAATAATAAACTTAACGATGCTATTAAGCTTTTTAAGATCGCTATAAATTGTGTTAAACATCGAAAAGCTACCTACGGTACAATTATATTTGATGCAATCTGTCCAGTAAGCCGTCACTGAAAATTTGCTCCTTAAGACTACTGGTATACCTTCCAAAATCGCGAAACCTACTCCTAACACTCCACCAGCGGTATGATACAGTGGATTCGGATTATACAAGATATCCTTTGATCTCAACCCTAGCAAGTTAAACGGCATTACGACCAGCAAGAATCTGAAAGGAAACAATTTATTTTTCAGTACATTATATTAATTCATTCGTCTATTTAGGGGTTCTGTAATTGTTTCAATGAAATGTTTGTTACTAATAGAACTGTAATATTATGTATTTTAATAAATTCATTGAGAAATGGATAAAAATACCGTGTATGGAAATTCTATGCAGATAAAGCATGTAACGCTAAATAATAAATATGTTAAGAAGTACTTTGAACATGTCTTTGATCATTTTCATGCAACGTTTTATACGTTTGTCATTAATGATCAACATCTTTCAATTTAATAATTTTTAGAATTAAAGAAGTGTGTTATTTATTGTAATAGTAAAATAATAAATTATCACTGGACAAAAACTTTACGTATTAAATCATCAAAATGACCAAATTCATTTTATTAAATAACTGATGACTAGTTGATGATTAGGAAATCAGTTTGAATTTTTTGTTTTATTCCGTACATATTTTATGTATTCAATAATTTCGATACTCTTTAAGTAGCTATACAAGAGAAAATTATAATAAATTAAAGGAAAGTTTGCTCGAACGAAAAGTACGACATTTTATTAGTAAAACAGTTATAATGCTGGCAGGCAGGAAGCAGTCTCTCGCAAAGCAACTGCATTTACATGTAATCCCATTCTGGACGAGTCGTAAGGCTTTCCTGAGAGGATTATAGATCATTTATACGTTCACCAGAGAGATAATTCATTCTGTTCACGGAACAGTGTCTAAGAATAAATGAAAGTTTAAAAACCTCTCACGGCAATGCCAGTTTACTGTAAGTTTGTTAACTAACAACTTCCGCGAGAAAATAAATACAAAAGTTACAAAAAATTACTAAAGTCTTCAACAGATTATCTTCCCATAAGTTTTGGAAAGTTATGCATTCAAAGCTTGTTCTACTTTATCGTTTTACGCTTATTGGTTTCAAAAAAAATTTATATGTATAAAGAGTTTAGATATAAGGAAAATATGAACAACTGAAATAATGTATACTTAAAACTTATACAAAATAATCAATTTCTATGAATTCTAAGCTCTTACATAATTTTAATTGATTGGTAATGAAGTAATATTTTATTACTCTTTCTCACGTGTCTTTTCGAAAATCAATTTAATAATTTACAAATAGCAAATTTAAATAAAAATTGTCACCAGGTTCAAATTGTCAAGCGTGAAAAATTAATATTTTCATTCATGCTTTTTAATATATTCAATTTAACATCGATTAGTATATACTTTGCCAGGAAGTTTAAAAAATAGTAAATATTAGTTTATCCTTGTTTATGATTTATCTTTTATTTATTGTTAATAAAATACCCAATAGCTCGTGTGTAAATCAACAGGTTGAATTATCAAAAAAAAATTAATTTATTTGTTAATTGCATAATTTAAAATATAAAAAAGTGTTATATAATATTATAATACCTTGCTAACAATTATACAAAATTATTAACATAACTAATTTATTTTGTTTTTCTTTATTGATTGTTTTGAATTGTAAAATAGTGAAAATTTAATTACTTTTTACACTGTATTAATAAATTATATATATATATATTAATAACAATTTATTTAACAATATTTCAAATATGTTGCGTCAACGATTTGTGTTACTGACGAAATGTGGAGAAATAATATTTAGATTCATCGCTTAAAGTGACCTACATGCGCTGATCGATATTTTTACATAATATATCAACCCCTGTGTCAACGATTGTCGACAATGCTCAGTTATAATGCTTGACAATTCGTGAACCTTGACCATTTGGCGTACAGTATGAGTTCATTAGAAAAAGGGACAAATCGTATTTTTTACAAAGTAGAATTATTATTGGACGTTGTGTTGTACAAGATTCAAAGTAAGGTACTCTGGGAACTAACTCTATTCATTTTTAAGCATACGTTTATGAAAAGTAATATTTCGAAAATTTTCTAATATCTGTCTTTGGATTCAGAATACTACTCAACTGCATCAATATATTTTACATTTCTAAATGCATGAGAATATTATTATATTTTTTAAAATATTTTAAGAGTCTCATTTGCATCTATACACACATTTTTCCTTATACAATGTACCCTTAGCACAAAACAAATCGTCTGTTCCTACAAGTACATATTCATGATTGAACTTAGCCATCGATATCCGTAGGGGAAGTACGAACTACGAAAGTAGAAATAGTCGTTTCGTCCCGTCAACGCGCAAAATGGTTTTCCGTCATAAATTCATATTAACTTTCCCGGTGGTAATCTGTCTCAAAGTCTCATTACAGAAAATTACGAAATCTGTCTGGTTCTATTGGACTAAATATCAGCATAAAAACAATGCACTTCGTTTAAAACTCAATTTAAATGAATCTCAAAGGTACACTTAGAAGAAAAACTGTAGGACATCGATTTATTAAAGTATCGATTTGTCAAGATAAATAAGTCAAGAAAAAAGTCTTACAGAGTCTATTACAGATAAAGAAACATAAAGGTTAAAATAATTATTGTGTCTTTCAACTAACTTTTTAAAGTTACTCTTGCTTTTTAACTCATGAAATGTTCAGTGGGGTAACCAAGTCACTTGTATTGCACCGTTCTCATCCTAATAGTATTTTATGAAATAAATCTGTTATTTGATTTAGAAGCAGAGATTATTCTATCATTTTAGTGTTTTCTGACAATTTACGTCTGGTTATTCATTTGAGCTTAACTTTGTCCCAAAATGAAACAAAAAAGAGTTCTAAACTAACTTGGTGTAAGTTTCCTTATCTCGAATTGAGTAGCAGGGTAAGTTGGGGAGAGATGGCCCACTTTCTTTTAAAGAACTATTATATCATAAATATCATTAATTGATATTTTTAATTTCTTTCAATTTATTTTTTAATTTCTTGCAAGAAATAAAATATTGATGAATGTAAACGGATATAAGAAGAATAATTAAATAGGCTTCTGTGCCTGATTCAGTATACCACTACAAACAATTGAAAATATAGATAATCGATAATTTAAACGAAATTAGGCCATCTCACTCGAAATTACCCTATCGCCACTTACAGTAAACAAGTAATATTTGATAAAAAGCGAGTTTTCTTACCTCGAATTGAGTACTATTGCCACTTTAGGCAAACCAGTAGTACCACTTGTATAAATGTACATCAACTTGTCTCTGTATCCAATTTCTTCTTCAACCACCGGCTCTTCCGTGCTGGCTTCCGACAGAAGTTTGTTCAAACTGTATATGCCATCTTCTTGTTTCTCGGCATTACTGTACATTTTGTACATCTGTACACCAGGAATCGAATCCTTTATGTCCTCGATGGCTAAAACAGGCATTGACATTTTGCATAATTTTTGTCGCCGCTCAATTCTCTGTAATTCCTGTGCCTACACCTTTGCGAACGGTGTACGGAAATAGCGACCATATCACGGGGGTTGACGGTGTTTATTAAAAGAAGTAAAAGAATGTTGCTAAATATCCCCGTAAACCAATATATTATTGGTCAAATTATTCATAGTACCGCGTGAATTTTCAAAGAAGTCATTCACATTCAATTTTACTTGTCACTCCCCTATGACTAATCACAGACTGTTACATATGAAGATGTTTAATAAAATACAGAATGTCAAGTAAATCAACTAATTTGTTCATTCTATGATAGAACAAAATGAAATGAGAAGTTTTATTTATAAAGAAAATAGTTTTCATAATGAAGCAATTTGTACAAAGATAACACAATGTTCAAACATTATATATATAATAAACATTATATATAAGTTCGTTTGAAAATTATTAACGGTAAGAACACGGGACATTATGATAATACTGAATGTTATGAATGAAACTTTCCTTCCCAATGTCATGACTGTAATTATATTCTTTATGACATAGTTACCGGATGAGTAATCTTCCATACAAATGATACTCTTCACTTCAGCGATACGAAGGCAATGTATCAAGGACTGAAGTCTCAAGTTCGTATTGATTAAAGCCGTTACGACGCCCAACTTCGCCAAACCGAGCCAAATCGCGACGTACTCCGGCCGGTTTGACATCATCAAAGCCACGGCATCCCCTTTCTTATATCCTGCTTTTTGAAATACTGAAGCAACTTGATTGCTATATTTATTGACCTGTAATCGGCAAACAAAGGGATATTAGTTTTAATAATGCAAGGTATACATTTTAAAGTTTCTATAGAGTTGATTTTTTGCGACGAATTATAAAAACCATTTCAAACAGTCACAAAAATCTGGATACTTACACCTGACCAATACTTGAAGCAAGAAGTACAAGAGTTTGAAACACTTTATAGGTACTCATCCATTTATTAGTTAAAATCAGATGAATACTGAAAAAATGATAACATATTTCGGCATTTGTTTATAAGGAACCGTTATATTTGGCAAAAAATCTTGCTAAATTTTTCCAGGAAGTTTAAAGGTGTTCACTTCATAAAACTGAACTTCTTTAAATTCTACATTACCTAATTTCTTTAACAGCTTCTTATCATTTTTAATATATTTATTTATATTTATCCGTTTTCTATAAATAGATGAACACATTTTAGAATACCTCTATTAAATGACAGAATCTGTCTAATTTTCACTAACAAATGTAGAAACTTTCGTAAAATATAGAAAACTCGGTTCCTTTAAATATTTGAAATTTGGCAGGTATATCTATATTTAGATTTTTGTGGCTGACTGAAAATACAGACGATTTCCCAGGATTCTTTGGCCAAACATCGACAGTACGGATTACAGACAGCAATAAGAAAAAATTGTTGTATAAATATAAACTATTAAAAACGTAGTTGAAGAAAATAAAAAATCGAAGACAGTATTGTAGCAACGGTTCAATGCTTGAAAGGGTGTAAGAAAGATTTTTAGATTTTTCAAACAAAAGAAACCTATAATGCCTAATATTACATTCTTTTTACTTTATTGTTTTATTTCTTGAACAAATAGAAAAACATAATCTAAAAAATATATTTATTTATATACTAAAGTATGTTTCTTTCAAAGTAGACAAAGATAGTCAAACTGGCAACAATGAATCAAAACAATAAAATGTTATCAGTCCTATTACATATTACATATAATAAAAAAAAACGAAAATTAATTTTGAATATTCATACAGTAAAAAATAATGAGAGGAAGATGTATAATTTTCTCGGATTTTTAGTTTAAGTAGGAACATTTTAAGGTATAATAAATTTTGTTATACTTTTCCTTATTTTAGCTCTTTCACTGCGAATAGTAATTTATTTATAGGGGCAATCTCAAGAGTTTGGAAGCAACATCAATTATTTTTATACAATACTACACAACGTTGTACAAAACTTTAAATTCTTCACATTTTATATTTTTATTAATTCTTTTATCCTGACTTTAAAAGAAGCAGTTCAACTTTTGAACAATTTTACGGCCAAACAAAGGTACTGATTATAACAATGATTCGTTTTTCATCTTTAATATACTTTTCTCTTATAAATACATAGAATGGGACATTTAAGGTAGATCACCTGGGTAACTCTGTTATTTTACCGTTCCAATTTACCATTTCTCCAGGTGAAAACACATAACAGAGCAGTTCAGAAAAACAATATCCTTCTTCTATAGATAGATGTATAAATTCAGAAGCTTAAATTTTTACAAAATTGAAATTCGAAATGGAACATCATTCGCATGGTAGTAAGTGTTTCTGACACTCTACTAAACAATTCTTTTTACAATTATTTTCTTGGATTATGCAAATTGCCAATCATATAGTTTATGTTACAGAAATTAAGGAAAAATAAGTGTCAGTTGTTAAAAGACTTATTAAATTAAGAATTAATGACGAAATTGAATACAATAATAATGCATAATATCCGCTAATTACTAGCTTCCAAATTGAATAGAAATTTCATAAAAACTTTTGGATTGAACCTCACTTTCGTACATGACAATAATACAATTTTGTTTCCCTTTACTTTTCGATTGCGGTATTTATTTTTATGTGCAGTGAAATCATAAGAAATGAATGTTTAGTGAACGAGTAATGCTTATAGTAGTCGAGAATTTAAAACATACGTCAGAATTGGTCCAAACACGATCCTCGAAGATGAAACATGGCTTTGTGGGGTAACGATCCACTCTTTTCTTGAAAGTCTTCGCAACGGTCATATTATTTCGACGTTGAAAGCTCATCTCGAGTTCAGCATTTATGACGCGATACAGAAATCTGAAAGACACGATTGCCATCATATTTAAAAGGATATTAAAAGTCGTTTCAATGGGATGAGCCATTAAATTATCCACCATTTGGTATAATTGTGTAGCACAACAATTTGAATTCAAAATATTAAGCATAGAAATCAATGTGGTGTCTTTTTAAAATGAAATCATTTATATACAATAAAATCGTACATTCGATGAATTTGTTTTATTATTAAGATAAAAATGGAAAATCCTGAAATATTAGGGAAATGTTGAAATTTAAAATGGATCTGTAACTAAATGAATGAACACTAGATTTATTTTTGTACCTAATAATTGATTTGGTAAAACCACCGTACAATGTTGCAAAATAATAATGAATGTTGATAGAATGATGTATATTTTTAATTTTGTTTAAAATAAATACCAATTTTGTAAAAAAGTAATGGACTAATATATTCGGTGTGTTATGGATATTACATAAATGTGTTCCACTTCCCACTTTCTAATCCTAAGTTTAGTTTTTATGTCTCGAATATTAATTAACTTTTCTTTGTTTATAAAACCATGCATCTTGAATAAAGATTCATTTATTTAATTATTAATGTTGAAATTACATAAAGGTATACATAATAAATAAAACATGTAATAAGCATATAATTGTTTTTGTTTCATTTAATAAAACTACTGAGAACGAAAATTAATTTTTTCAATATTCATAAATTCATAAAAATATGAATTTGTACAACTATCCAGAATTTAATAATAAATAACTTATCTTATTCCTATATATATATATATATATTGTTTAGCGATTTAGTATTTTCTTAAATGTAAAAGAACTTTTATTTTACAAATATATTTATTAATTTTTGTAATTTACAATAAATTTTTATCTAATATCTACTATGTATTTACTTCAGTACGTGGTACAAATAAGGTCGCCTTATCAGGCAGTACGTAGCATTGATAATTCAAAAACGGTTGTTGTTGAATAGTTACTGGTTTTTCATTTGGTTAATATATTTTAAATATCTGAATACGAACAATGAACCACTGTTCAGTTATTTATATCTATTTGTATCATGTTAACATGTGATATACAATTTCTATCACAGCGCATTACATTTCCATCATCCGATGGAGAGAAGTGTAACACACAGAACTGCTTGGCGGCAGCAAGAATTGCAGCACTGATAGCTAAATATTACAGTTTTAAACATTTTTTTGTTCATTTTTCTTGAGTTTAACTTTTTTTGGTGCTTTTTAATAATGTATTAGTAAATGATCGGTATACTTGTGGTGTTAAAGTACAAAGACATTACAAGATTACTGACATATAAATAAAACTAGCGAGAGAGCAACTAGCAAAAATTTTGAAATTGACGCCATGTTCCTACATTACCGATCTTCACTACGAATAACTTTAACTTTTTATCATTAACTTTTGAAAAATAATATTTTCCATAAAGAAGAGTTTTTACTAATAAAGTATGGAAAGTGACATGTAAACTGCATATATATAGAATACATAAAAATACATATATATATATATATATATATATATATATATATATATATATATATATATATATATATATATATATATATATTTTCATATAACAAGGAACATATTACATCAGTTGCTTACTGACACCCGGTGTATTGAAAGGACTTTGAATTAATGTTAAAAAATAAGAAGTTGAAGTTGTACTGACTTGTTTGCGAAAGATAATACTGCACAAATAGCATCTCTTGTAACAACTTGCGTATTCAAAGTTGATAGTGAAATGACCTTTGGAATATGAAAATCCCTCTGAATTGCGAACTGAATAATTTACTATGTCGTACCATTATTATGATTATGTTTTATTTATGCATAATTTTATTTGTCGATGCAATTATTTTGTTATTTAGAAACAAATAGAATTAATTTAAATATTGCAGAGAAACAATACAAATTGATATGTTGTAATTCTTTATTTAATTTGTCCCGACGAAGATAGCTTATAATATTAAAGTTTAAACGCAACATTTAATGTCTCAAATTAAATATTGAATAACAAAGTGAATCGAGCTTAAATTGAATTATATAATCTGCTATTGCTATAGTTAGATTAAAATGAATTTGTTTAAATAATTTTTTAATATTAATGGCACGTATTTTTCTAAAATTATAATTGTGTTAACTAATATTTCTTAAATGAATATTTTAACAATAATCTTTTAATTGCTTCGCATATTTACTACAAACATATTAAATATTTATGTTAACGGTATATTAACTTTAGTCTCATTTACGAATTCTTAAATAACATATCTTTATTTATATTTAAATAATTTTTATTATAACTAACTCTGCATATATGGTAGAATATTCAGCCAAATTTCTATCCACAATTATATTAATTTTAAAATATCTACATGAAAATTACAATTAAAGCTTGAAGAGCTGGAAATGTTTATAAACACAGTTGCTCAAGGCATGTCAGCGTCACTAGTGCACAAAGAGAACAGAATAATTGCATGCATGGCCATTTCGTCATCGTTGTCGGATGCATAGAACATTCAGCGAACTGCATAAAAACATGTTTGAACCTTATGTATGTTAATCAGATTCCCAATCATCAATGATCATTTATCGTTGATTAATTGCTTAAGATAAGTATTGCTATATTACGCGAAAACGTGTGTCAAACGCAGTACAGGTAAATAGGATAAAAAATGGTTGACAATACGCATTTTTATGGTTCATTGATCTGTATCCTTTGAAATGCATCAGTGCGCTAAAGAAGTACAGTTGTATGTAACTTTAAACGAGCATGTACGCTTCTTTCACGTAAAACGGTTCTTGTGAGTGATCACGAAACACTACCATTTTTAGTATTATTCAATGGATAGTATTCTAATTATTCTTATTATTGTTTAGTGCTATTAAAGTAACAAAATAACTTTATTATCAAATATAATTTCATTCGAAGAAATCGAACAAAAATATAATTTACTATTTTTTTTTGTTGACAATAATTTTAATATTACGAAAGTAATATTTAATTGTTATATAGACAGTACTGTTTACCTTTGTGCCATATGAAATTACGGTATTCAACGGTTTTAAATCAAATTCAATAAAATCTGACACCATTGCATTAAGGTTACACAAGGTCTAATATGAAAGAAATAAGTGCAACGATTTGCGGTATTCCGTTTGCTGATATTCCTTAACAAATTCGTGGCAAATTATTTCTTCACTTCCCTAAAAGTGAAAGCCGTTTGGAAAGGAGTAAGTCCGAAGTTGAACGAAAGTTTCTGTCATTAGCAGAGACGCGTTAAAAAAATTAGTTTTAAATCGTCACACTAATGAACTATCTATTAGTTCAAATGAAAAATGGAAACTGGTACGTTTCAATTACATTTTTGAGCTTATTGCAACTGGTTTTACACGTTTCGTACATCTTTTAGCTACTTTATAAAACAACGAAATTTCACATCGAAAATAGCCGAGCTACAGCTCTTGGACAGACAACATTTGAATGTAAGATGAACGCATCAGTAATACGACAAAACTACGCACTCATTTTGACATGCGTGCGTAACAATTTCTTTCATTCCTGAGCTGGTATAACGTCGAAGGTTGTTACATCACACACCAAATGTGACTTTCAACAGTAAAAAGATATTCCAAATTTAAAATGCTAATAAGCAATTGTATTCCTTATAAGTAGGATACAGACATTTATGTAAATATTCGATTTTATACGAAGATTTCAAAAAAACATAATACTTGTCTCTTTAGTTTGATAAATATAAGCCTTGACAAATAAAGGTAGTACAAAACTGCATTAAATTCTACTGAATTTTGTATTTTATTATTTTACTTTGTTTTTTCATAGTTTTATGAGCCATGAACATCTGAAATCCTGCAGCCTATTTGTAATATACAAAGTTTTACACGTACTGTTAGTCACAAGAGTATTCGTACCTTCTAAACTGCCGAATTTAAACGATTGATATTTGTTTACAATGCAAGTTTCAAAATCCTTATTAACAGGAATGTATGTTGATATTATGAAGCTTTCAAACTGATATATACTTTATTGGAAAATAACATGTCAATATAACAAAAAAATAATTTTACGTAAACAGAAAGAAAATTGGTCTCACAAACCTGATGATTTAGATCGTTCCAAAAATATTATAAAATACAAAGGAGGATTAACCAAATATTAGTTATTAATACATTAATTGTATTTTTAGTATAACTTGTACAGATACGAAAACGCTTGTCAGATCAATATTATTTCGGTTTACGTAAAATTACATTTTTGTTGTATTAACATGTTATTTTACAATAAAGTTTATATCAATTTGAAAACTTCGTAATTCCAACATGTATTCATATTGATAAGAGCTTTGAAACTTGCATTCCAAACAGATATCAATTGTTCAAATTCAACAATTCAGGAGGTACGAATACTGTTGTGACTCACTGTATGCAGTACCATTTAACACGTCGACCGCCACGAGAATTTTTAGCGTTTTGTATAATATGTTATTATTGAATATTTTGATTCGACATCAGTTTCCTTCCTGTAATTGTCTTCAAGCATTTCGGAAGCTCCGGTCATCGGTGACCACCGTGACGGTCAACGTGTTAACCCCTTGCACTCGTATGTCATACTGGAGATAACAATACAAATTTTTTTTAGAACATTGGAAATTGTTTGAAAAAGTACCAAGATAAAAGATTATAAAAATTAAATCTTATTATAATAATAATAAATAATTGTAAGAATCGGAATTATTGAGTTTGTGAATAGAAAAACACCAAACGATCTAGATCACGAAAATACTGACTCAGTTAATCAAGATCCTACAAGAAAGCAATCTGTACAAGAAAAATCTGAGATCCAGTGGATATTCCTGATAATGACTACGCTAAAGGCACCAGTAATTGATCTGGTATCAGTAGTTGACCATTTTTCATGAAAATGTAAAAAATAAAACTTTTACCTGAATTGAATG